GGAAATACAGTCCCATCTTGTCACAGCATGAATTGGAACCGGAGCACTCAGCATCTCAGCTCTGCTGCCCAGAACTGAGCCTCACAGGCTGCTGTAAAAGCCCCTGTCAAGATGCAGCTTTTCCTCACGGGCAGGTGGAAGTGGCACATTCTGTGAGGAATCCTTTAAAACTCCTTTTTCTGCTTGTTTTTCTAGATAAAATGCATGTCTCCTCTCGCTGACTTTTCAGCAAAACCATGAACATTTTGATTGCACAGAATCCAAACCACCGAACAACAGTCATGGGAATGTTAGTTTTACATTGAGGTTAAAAAACAGATACTTCTGTCCAACTCTTAGGTTTCTCTTTAACATAGTCCACTCACATCAAAGACGTAAAACGCTGTCCCAAAACACAGGTTCTTCAAACTGCTGAGCACCTGTGCCTACCTTCCCAGCATCTTTAGGAGCTTTTCCAGTCCCTCTGAAAACAAGAAGCTGGAGATATTGGATTGGTAGGTTTGAATGGTCATATTTGTGCATACAGCTTCTTGTATCGGGCTACAGCATCTTTCAACATACATATTTCAACATGCCTGAATATCCCAGTTGTGTTTGGGTCAAGCGTTGCAGCCAAGTGATGGCTCCTGGCAGCAGAGCAAATCTGTGCTCATCAAACAGCTTGCTTTAGTGATTTCTTCCCTTTCCAAAGGAAAGGACAGTGTAGTTGACAAAGCTGCACTCCTGATCACCTTGCTCTTCTCTCTCCTCCTCTGCTGATGTTACGTGTTGTTTTACCCTTCAAGTACAACCTATTGCTTCTAGATTTTCTTGCAATCAGGATTTTAATGTATATCAAGGGGTGGGTCCTGTGGAAGAATACGAGGTGGAATACATTGTTTTGAAGGGTCATTCACTGTGGCCACAGATAACAATTGGCACAAATCACCTTCCAGCTGAATTCCTGCCCATAGACCTGGTATGTCATTGCTGTATTTTGGGTTAAGCAGGCACCTGTAGTATTTTGGGATGAGAATGAGAGCTCTGAAGAAATAAATAGCTGCATGCTGGTGTGGTTTAGTGCTTAGCCCTGAGTCACAACAACCAGCTTCTGTCTCCAGCTGTGTCACCAGTGTGTGGTGTGACCTTGGCATAGGCTGTAAGCTGACTGTGCAGGAATTGCATCTTTTTGATTAATTGCCTTGCTCAGAGTTAGATCCCCTTGGTTCGACAGCACAAATAAGTCTTTATTACTGCAGTAACAGCATGAAGTCCTGGCTCAGAAAAAGCAGCTCAATCCACTTCTGGCTTGGGAACCATCAGCACAATTAATTATATTTGAATTGCAGTGTAAAAATTGCCAGGAAGGCAGAGATGCTCAGGCCCACAAACATTGTGTGAGTTTAATTAAAAAAGGACAATTTCAAGCAGCTTTGGGCACAGATACTTTATACTTCTCCGTTGATTTTGATCAGTGCTTTACTAATGAATTATCAACCAGTTTGAATGAAATGAGTTTTCATTCTGCATGCTGTAAAGTTCTTTGCATGGGAGAGAAGACTGTAGATTGTTTTAGTAATGTGTAAGCTTGCAGGAGGAAGAAGTTTCTCCCTTCCTGGATATTTTACAGGTGGAGATCACAAACACAGACTCTCCTAGGTGTCTTTCAGTGCAGAGGAGGGCAGAACTCCAGCAGAGCACCCAACCAGTGATTTTTGCTTTCAGAGGGACTCCTGTGAGCCTGCACCTTGAAGATACCTGAGCTCTTGGCTGGATTGCAAGCTCAGCTTTCTGCAGGATGGCGCCCTGTATTTTGTTGGGGAATATAGTGGGTATTCTCTTGGCCTCCTGCTTAAATTCTCAGGCATGCCCAGGAAACTGGATAGGGAATATACTGTCCCAGAAGGGGAGCGATTAATTAAGCAGCTCTGTGCTACCTTCTTGTTTTTAACCCCAGCAGCATCTGGGAACTGAATAAATGCGCTCGGACTTGCTGACCAGAGAGCTCTGATCTGGAGCTCTGGGTCAAGTTGGCTGCAAAGGGAATCATTTCAAAACCTCTCTTCTATACTGTTACAGCAGATGAAAGGACAGCTAGCATTCCAGACATTATACTGCGCTGCCTGTAGTGGATAAAGCAAAGGGCTCAACAGGTTGTTGTTCATTTTGTTGTTGTTGTTGTTGTTGTTTTTTTACCTAGGCACATTTTGGAGTCTGAGCCAATATTTTCAAGCCATTTTTAAATGCTGGAGAAAATCTTGCAGAGGTTTGGGAATGTAAATGATATTGGCATAGGAGATACAGCCCTGGACTGAGGCTCCATTGTGCTAGGTGTCAAATGCATACAGAACAAAATGCCCTTGGCACCATAACATTGAAGCAGAACCAGCTCCAGTGTCTGCTTTCTAATGTATTTATACATGCTCAGTATGATACTGCAGACATGCAGCTGAAGAACAATTTGAGGTCAGATTTGTACAGCCTGCATTTGTGTAAAGTCTTACATCCTTATTGTTGCTGTTGTTGAGCGCCGTGAATAGTCCATGAAGCTTCAGGGCTGATGTTTTTTATCCATGTAGGTGCTACTCTGTGTACTTGCTAGAGAAGATTGGTCCCAGCAGGGTGGCTAGAGCTGAGAAGAAGCTGGAATCAGTGTTCTGAGAGAGCTGTTCTGCACTTGTCCTCCCCAAAATGTCTGGCACAGAGAGGCTTTATTCTAGCAGTGCAAAATCCATCTGTGGCTGTGAAGTGTTTGACCACACTTGACATCTTGGAGCAATAGTTGTTCTTATTTTTTATTTTTTCAGATGGCCTGCAGTCAGCGAGCCCCTTGGAAGATAAATAACTAGACATCATGTTTGAGCTGCTGTCGAGTAAGAAATAAGGACAGTTCAGAGTACTCACAATAGTCTGTATTGCTGGAGTCTGTAATCTGCTACAGTGTCCCGCACCAAATTACATGTCAGTGATTTGTGCCTTGAGAAATGTGTGTCTAGCTCCTGCTTGCCACTGCAGGCCAGCCTCTATGTCCTGTGAAGCTCCATAGCAAGTTTTTGACCAGCTCAGCCTTAAGCATTAAACCATTTTGGCCAAGTGAGTCACTGTTTTATGTTTGTTGTTTGTATTGCTATAGCAGTTGAGACTTCTAAGCTTTGGATCCAAGACCTTGTTGTGCCAGGTGCTGTAGGAACATGGAGAGGAAAAAAAAAAGTGGTGTGAGGAAGAACATGCATTTCTCTAGAACCTGAGACAACAGATGGCTCCAGATGGGAGAGCACAAGGAACCGATGAGGTAATACTAACCAGTGTGGTGAGCAATGGTGTTGGAATATCACTTATCCAAACATCACTGAGGTTTTTATAGGCACTGTAGCATAGGACAGTTTGAAGGAGGACGATCAAGGCAGAGCAGTTCACAATAATGTCCTATCAAGCACAGGGGAAAGAAGCATGCTGAAAGGGATCCTGGATAAAAGGATTTGCTGCAAAATCTGGTGTTAGCAGCAGAGATGTTGTGGTCATGTATGGAGTCAGAGCTCAGGAGCGTGAGCTGTGGTTTCTGAAAGCAGACAAACTGTATTTGTTTGAATGGAGAAAGCACAGCCAGTAGGGAGAATAAGCCTACAGGCAGGCTGTGTACTTGAAATCTTGGCCAGGAACTGTTTTCTAATGTGTATACAACTAACAGCTCAAGGAAGAAGAAAGTGCTGCTGTTTTTGATCATAGCATTTATCTGTCATGTGATATGAGAGAACAGATGAGTGAACCAAAACATGCATGCGTCTTTGTTTGCCACACAGATGCCTCCTTAAAGGGTATAGGAAAAACATAGCTTTTTAGTAGCATTTTTTTGTTTAAATTTCAATTTAAAAATTTAATTTGTGCAAAATCCCTAGTAAACATCCTCACTGAGCAGAAAGCTTGCAGAAGATACAAGTCAAATGCCAAACCCTGCAGATAACACACATCCTTTCATGGGTGTTAAACTGTGCCTGATCTCCACTGATTGTGTCCTTTTTCCCCTAAACATTGTCAACTCTTAAAAATAATGACAAATTAGTTGTGTACTGAAGGGACCTGCTGCCCAGTCCATGTTTTTTTCTGAAACAGCTCTGTCTCTACCCCATTCGTGGTTTGCCTCCCCTGCAGTGTGGCAGAAAAGACAGCTGCCATGGGATCTGATGGGGGAGCAGAAGATGTCCAGGAGCCCACCTTCTTGTAGCCTGCAGTATAAAAATGTTGCTTGGAGTGCAATTTCCCCACAGTTAAAGTAAGATTTGAAAGGAGCATTGCTCTTTGTTAAGAAGAATTTTTAGGAAGGGATCATCAAAAAGGCCTTGTATCCTTTGTCGTGCAACTCAGCGTGGCTGGAGGGGAGACACTTAGGCTTCCCAGAAGGTTGCTGGAGGAAAAACTTAATAATAGGAAATGCACTGATTGCGTCAGTGTAAGATGCTATCCCAGATGTGTTCTGTAGGAACTGCATTTAGCTGAACCATTCTCAGCTGGTTGGAAGGAGCTCCATCCATTCTCCTAAAAGGCCTTTCAGGGATAAACTTTGATCCTGTCACTGCGAGCTGTACAGCATACATTCATCCTGCTAACACCAGTCCTATAGCATCAGCAGCAGGACTCTCTCTTCTCTGCTGTGCTTTGGGTTGTCATAGCACCTAGAGATGTCAGACCTTGCAGTGTGAAGAGGTATGGATGAGGGGAGCGTGGCTGGTGTCTTCGTGCTTCTCCCTTCACCTGGTACTGCAGAATGGACCGTGGGTGTAAATGTTGTTCAGTGAAAACTGCACAGGGTTTATGCAACCTTGCTTAGTCATAGGGCTGCGGATAACCCCCCTTCCCACCACACTGAAGGATTGTAGCTGCAACGTACACAGTAGCATCATTAAGCTGGTCAAAGGTAAAATGGAAGCGTGAGTATTTCTAGATCCTGCAAGAAAAGTGAGCTTGTGGATAGGGTTTTTTTGCTTGTTTTGTTGGGCCTAACCTAGCTGGTTCTTGCCTTTCAGGGCCTTTACTCGTGTGTTCACCTTTGGCCCCACATTTCGAGCTGAGAACTCACAGAGTCGCCGGCACCTGGCAGAGTTCTACATGGTGGAGGCTGAGCTGTCCTTCACTGAAAGCCTCCAAGACATCATGCAGGTAGGCACCTCCAAGGGTTTATGCAGAACCAGTGTCCAAACTTCCTCCTCCTCCCTCAGCTGTGCTTCCTGCCCTCACCTTGAGGTCACAGCTTCTCTCTCCATGCGTGAGCCAAGGAGGGGTTGCACAGGCACATCCCAAGGTTCAGGGTTTGATCAGCAGAGTTGGGGCCACCAAAGGAATTGGGAAGGGAAGGTATAAGAAAGAACAGAGGGAAAAGCAGAAATTTCCTCTGAATGGGAGGCTGCATACAGCCAGAAGATGGATAAATGCATGTGACTGGTGCTAATGAAAGTGGCACTCTCCTCTTCAAAGCCTTCTGCATCTCTCCAGTGAATCTGAGCAGTATTTACGCAGTGGACCCCTTGTTATGCTCTTTGAAAAGAGTTCCTTGAAAACTGCATTGAAATCAAAAGTAGAAACAACTGCTGACTTAAACAACTCACTGAGACTTTAGTACAGACTGAAATCCCTACAGTAGCTAGCTTTATATATTCCAGGTTAGATCTCTTAATCACATGATGGATGCTTATGCATCTCACTACTTTCAGCATATGAGCCATTTTGTACTCAGTAGGACTTGTGAGCAAATATCCACAAATGCTCTCATATAGCAGATGAGCTCCTCGGAAGGCTGTTGAGGAAATATCCTTATTAATATAATTAAAGCTTGAGGCCCTGGTTATGCATGCATGAAGTAACATCCAAGTCATGTTTTTTTTCATCCTGAATCATGTGCAGTCTTCAGAGTTGGTCTGGCCTAACAGCAAAACTGAATTCCAGTCTGGAGAAGAGAAGGCTCCTGGGAGACCTTGTTGTAGCCTTTCAGTAGTTAAAGGGTGCTCATTAACAGCAGGGAGACCGACTTTTTAAATGGTCTGATAGTGACAAGGGGGAATGGTTTTAAACTAAAAGAGGAGAGATTTAGATTAGATGCAAGGAGGAACTTCTTTACACAGAGTGTGGTAATGCGCTGGCTCAGGCTGCCCTGATTGCTGTGGGTGCCCCAGCCCTGGAGGTGCTCAAGACCAGACTGTTTTAGAGTGTGCCAGCTCTGCTGACAGGAAGAGATTGGAACTGGGTGTTCATTCATCCCTACCTGCTGTAGGGAACCTGCTTTGGCAGGGGGGTTGGACTCGATGATCTCTGGAGGTCCCTTCCAACCCCTGCAATTCTGTGATTCTGTGATTAAGGACCCTTACAACCCAAGCCATTCTGTGGTTTTGTCCTGTACAGAACTGTGCTGCTGCTTTATCTTGTATGTCTCGTTGGCACTGGGCTGTGCAGAATGACCCACTGGGAATCTCTGTGCTCCATTAACAATAACCCAATCTTTCTTTTCTCTTGTTTGTTTCCTCCAAAATGCCTTAGTATACTCTTAGAATATAACATACATGTCTGTTTCCACCCTACTTAGAATCACAGAATCATAGAATGGATTCTAAAGGATCACAGTGATCATCCAGTTCCAACTCCCCTGCTATGTGCAGGGTCACCAACCAGCAGACCAGGCTGCCCAGAGCCACATCCAGCCTGGCCTTGAATGCTCCCAGGGATGGGGCATCCACAACTTCCTTGGGCAACCTGTTCCAGTGCTTCACCACCCTCTGTGTGAAAAACTTCCTCCTAATATCTAATCTAAACCTCTCCTTGTCCTATCACTATCCACCCTTGTGAACAGTCATATCCCTTCCTGTTTATACGCTCCCTTCAAATATTGGAAGGCCACAATGAAGGCCTCCCTGGAGCCTTCTCTTCTCCAACCTAAACAAGCCCTGTTCCCTCAGCCTTTCCATTTCTTAAGGTAATTAGGTGCTGATTGAACCCTTCACTGGTTTTGTCATACAATAAGCAAGTTCTTCTGCAAAGTGGTCTTTAAGCCTTTGAACACAGCATGAACATGTACTGTTGCAGTGAGAACTCTAATTTCTTGGCTTCAAAACTATATATGGCCAGTAGGCTTCAGATAATTAGATTTGAGAACTGTCTTGGAATGCGTAGGACCTTCACTTTGTAGGAAAAGAAAGAATTCCTTCCTTGGCTTATTTTTTATTGCTGCTAAACATCTTACAAAGTCTCAGCTTGTTCTCTCCTTTTTCTCTTGCCTCAAAGTCTATGAGAATCATCCTTTCTTATACCAGAAATTCTCCTAACAGTAATGGTTTTGCATTCCCCATAGCAAGTCCACATTGCAACATGTGCTTACTTTAGTGAAGTTCTCACTTGCAGAAGTGGAGTTCCTGTTTTGTTTATTTTTAGATCATTGGGCAATCTCTTTAAGAGAAAAACACCCACACTAAAACAAACAAAAAAGAAAAGACAGCTGCTGTAAAGTCTAAGTTAAGTTTCTTTTTCCCCATTTAATTGACCTAAATTCAGTGTTCTCTCACATATTTGCCCACTGGGCAGTTTGGCTGTTTGTCATCATCTGCAAGTTCTTTGTTTGGTGCAGAACACTCAGTTGAAAGCCTTGGGGGCTATTGACAAGAGTTAGCGTCTGAACTTTACCCTTAGATAAATAGCTGGATTGTTTAAAAATTATTTTTGAAATTGGCATTCAAGATTTGGAATGAATACCTCTAACTTTAGCAAGTTGGGGTGCTGGGAATGCTCAGCTTCTTCAGGGACGTCTTGAAGTATTTGCTTATACACCATTAAAAGGTACAGAAAAACCTCGCTACAAAGAAATGCATGTTTACCATTCTCTGATGAGGCTTCAGATTTTTGCTCCCAAAGAAAAGCAGCTCTCTTTACAAAATAAAAGGAAGAACAATATTTAATAACAAAGGCGCATGTACTTAGGAGCAAAGGGCCTTTTTTCCCCACTGTAATTGCACAGAGCAATGCTCAGTTATTCCTAAATTAGTAACCCAGTTCTTATGAAGTCTTAAGTGCCTTGATCACACAGTCTAAATTTCTGCTTTGTGCCAAGATGTGTTTTAGTGCTCCAAATAAACTTAAACTCTTGTAATACTGGTTTCACAATACTTTCTATGGAAAGTCCCACTATGCTCAGTGTTTGGTGCCACACTGTGTGCTGAGTGTTTGGGTGATACTATTACAATTTAGCGTACTGGGTGTATGCAAGAGTTTCTATGGAGAGGCCTTTGTGGCCACTTCCCAAAAGAGTCTAATCAAGAGGTTGAGTCAAACTGCCCCAAGGCACTCCTCCTCCAAAGCGAGTGAGAGAGAATGAGAGTTAGAGGGTCAAGTTAGAAGGTGGAAGAGGTCCAGCTTGTATTGAAGTGTCTGGACTCACCAGTCACCTCTCTTCCAGTTCCCAAATGAGAAATCAAAGATCTCTTCTTATCTGTGCTCTGGGATGCCTGCTACCATCTTTTCCCATTCTATTCAGTGCTGCGTCCATCGTGTCTGTAGGTTTCTGTTTTTCCTTTCTGCTGTCTTGACAGTGAAGTGGATTTTGAAGGGTCCCACTTTACTTGTGGAGCCTCAAAGAGCTCATGTGATGCCATCATCATTGAATTATATCAAACATGCATACAAAACCATGCTAAAATAACATTATTTAGACTGTAAAGATAGGAAATGCCAGGAGGAAAATTTTTTGAGGATACTTTGGAAAGTCTATGCATAGTGATAGTCTTAATAAAATTGGATCTTGTAAAATTGGATCTTAGAACCACTGTCTCTCACTGCCGAAGATGGAAGATATAATTTAACACTGTATTTGTGCTCTGTTCTGGGTGCAGAAATATCATCTTCCTCTGGTTATGTACTTCATCAAAACATTCATTGCTACAGCCCAGTGACATGAAGTATTGTTATCTGCCTTTTATAGAAAGGAATTCAGGCACAAAATGAAATCAGTAGTAGCACTGATTTTGGGCACCAGTTGGAGGCTGTATCTTCAGGGTGATAGTTTCCCTTTCTAAAGTGGCATCCAACTGTCATAGCTGAACCTTTTTCTGTTTCCTGGGTTCCATCAGCAGTTACTGTTTAAGTTCTATGGTCAGAGAAGCAGTGGTCCAACAGACAAGTCTCCTTCCTTCCATAACAACAGCATCTCTGCAGAGTGGGTCTAGTCTAAGAAAACCAGTACATGACCATGGAATTATGAACAGTGGGCAAGAATGCTCACTTGGAGCTGCATGCAAGATCTTCTGAAGTTCCTAACTGAAGTGAGCGATCTCATGTTTCTAATGCTTCTCTTCTACAGACTTTTTTGGAGAACTGATAGGTTAAAAAATGATCAGTATATCATAGCAGATGTGAAAAGGATATCCCTTGCAAGGTGCTACAGTCCTCATAAATGCTTTCTTTGCTATTGAAGTTCAGCTTGCTTTCCAAAGTGATGATTTTTCAAGACTGGTGAGGGCAGCAACACTGTACAGGTATATTTTGCCTTTGCAACAAGCGTACACTGAGCACAGGTGGAGCTTTTTTTTCACCAGGTGACAGTGAAGAGTGATCTTCAGCCTATAGAGATCTAGCTCTTGGGCTGTTCAGAATGTAGATGAGAGAGGAGTCTTCACAACAAGGTCAGCTGTGAGTCTGCCCTCTGTGTGTGTGTATGTACATGCATGTGGTATGTGTGAGAGCAAGCATGAGGGCGACAAATAACGATCAGGTTGATAAATGTATGTACATTTACTGTGATCTGCATTTGCATCAATACTCACGGCCTGGGAAAATGTGGCAGCAAAAATCCTACTGTTACTGTGATTTTCTGGTAGTATGGTTGCATGACCTAATAAAAATCAGAGAGATGGTTGTTAAGTTCCACAACAGCACTGGGACAGGTCAGGACTGATGCTGCTGAACTTCTTTGAAAGGTGAGGATTAAGAGGAAAAGTGGGGAGAGGTGAGAGAAAGAAATTTTTACCTCACCTACACTTCTACCAGCACATTTCCTGTATTTTCCTTGTGAAGCAAGCAAACAAACAGGCTTTTGAAACCAAGAGTCCCACCTCTAAGACAGATGGCCATCTGTGAGTCCTCTGCTGTTTTTCATGTATAAGCCTCCTATCAAACATGCTTAATTCAGGATATATTCACACACAACCACTTGATCTATCCCTCCAGCTCACGTGCTCCCTCAACTAGCAAGCCAGTGGCTACGGTTCTCCACTCACTTTTCATGCATCCTGCTTTCTAGTCCTTCATTATGTTATCTGCTTAAAGCCATAACTTCTGCATTGGAGCTTTTCTTTGCCTTTATTTTTCCCGTTCCCTGTTTGTGCCTGGTACACATTTGGCATAAATAAGAGTGGTGAGAAAGCCAATGCATGACCCACGTGTCTGCCTTCTTTGCCAGGATAAAACCTCACGCTCAAACCTGGAAATATTTCTCAGATTGTTTTTCCCATACCACCCACATCTTTTTTCCACAAGAGGAAGCCGCTTATGTTGAATGCTGTGGGAACCTAATTGTTACTTTATCGCACAGCGAGGAAAAAAAAGTGCTAATGAAACAACATGCTTTTCTAAAAACAGATGATACTTTCATTTTCTAGAAAGAGGAAGCTTAATGTAAAATCCCTTTGTCTCTGCCTCGGTGAAACCAGATGAATTGCCAAGAAGTTCTCTAATTTCATTTGCATAAGCCTTTTTCTAGTTACTTTGAAAAAAGTTCAAAGCTGCCTGTTTGGTTATTTGCCAGCAGGAATGCTGGCTTTTCATTTCCTCTGCATTTGAGTACTAGTAGGGGTAAAATTGTTTATCTGCATATGATAATGCTGTGCCTTTATTTGGACCTTCCTTTTTTAGCACAGGGCTCTGATTGATGCAGAGTATGAAGGTTCTGAAGGAGTGAAGATGGTCTGTTGAACAAGCTTCTCCTGGCAGGTGGGATGCAGTGACTGTTCATCAGTCAGTGTTTCAAGCAGTTTAGAACAAGTGATCAAACATGAAAGTCTGAGCAAGATGCCTAAAAGCTAATCTTAGCTATGTCAGTCGCTGAGCTGCTTCTCCCTTTGTTTTGTTCCTCTTGCCCAGTATAAGGTTCCTTATGGGGCAGTGACTTGCTTCTTCCTCAGACCTGCTGACAGTAAGGTTCATCTTTTCACACTTTGCCTCCCCTGGGCTTAGCAGTGTGGAGAGCCCACTGTTCATCTAGGTATCATGGGTGGATTCTTTGCTTTTGTCAGCTCTGCAGTTAATGACACAAATTGTTACGCTTACAGAAAACACAGAGACCTGCCAGGACTTCCAAAAGTGCTTTTTGTTGCAAAAAAAAAACCACCTCCATCTCAGGCCAGGGTGATGAAATGCAGCCCAACTGCATTGCTTGTTGCTTACAAAGGTGAGAATAAAGAAAGTGATTCTAAAGAAAAGTTGGGAGTGTCAGTTATCCACAGGTATCCCTGCTTTGTGCAGGCATGGGGCTACAAGTAGTTATGGGAACTCTTACTGGCCAGCATGACAGCGAGTGTTCTGGATAGACTGCTTTGCTTAACCAAGCATGAAAATGACTCTTACAGCAGGTTGATCAAAAAGCACTGAAATCCAGTGTGGGAGCTTTTTTTTTTTTTGTTAAGAATCAAAATGGCATTTGTTTCATTTAATTTCTTCATAGGTGAAGCCCTTTTTAATGGGTAAGTATATCAGTGTTGTTTAGGTTACCCACAGTAGTTTAGGGGAATCAAAGCAGGTCGTTTTTTTGTCTCTCAGACATCTCTGAATTGATGTGTACTCAGCTTTAGCTCACTGCTCATCTCTACAGATGTTCTCTTTGAGTTACTGTGCCGGGTCTCTCTAACTGGAATTTGTTGAATAGTCTGATTCCACACAGTGTGCATTTATTCTCTTCTCCTTTACTTCTATCTGTTGTGACAATAAAGCAGAAGGACAGAATTGCTCATTACAGGAAAGGCATCTCACTAGTGATTTATCTGAGACCAGTCACCACAAATGGTTGTATTGTGTTCATTTGTGGCTGACCTGGGCTGCTCGTTGTATATTTTAGTGTTTGGTTCTTGTTTTTTTTTCCACTGGAAATAGTTGACTGAAGATACTAAGGCCATCAGCAGACACTGAGACTCAAAACCTGTAGCAGAAAAGCAAGTTCTAATCCACTTCAGCCAGTGAGCAAGCCTGCTAATTAGGAGCATTAGCAAGCTGGTACTCTCTTATGCAGTCTGACCATGCAAAAGCTCCTTTTGTACCCTTTGGTTGATGTGTACTGTGTTTTATTTATAGTCCTGGACGTCTAAGCATTGTTAATTTTCCATGCACTTCTGTTTTCTCTGTTAGGTTATGGAACATCTTTTCAAGACAGCAACAAGCACTGTGTTCTCCAAATGCCCTCGTGATGTTGAGCTTTTTCATAAATATGTAGCTCCTGCACAGAAGGTAATAAATGTGACAGGAAAGAGCTGCAACACTTTTATGCATTTGGGGGGGCTCTTGACAATAGAGAGGCTTGATTTTATTGTGTTCTCCTGTTAATCATAGAATCATAGAATGGCCTGGGTTGAAAAGGACCACAATGCTCATCCAGTTCCAAGCCCCTGCTGTGTGCAGGTCACCAACCACCAGCCCAGGCTGCCCAGAGCCACATCCAGCCTGGCCTTGAATGCCTTCAGAGATGGGGCATCCACAGCCTCCTTGGGCAACCTGTTCCAGTGCTTCACCACCCTCTGAGTGAAAAACTTCCTCCTAAAATCTAACCTAAACCTCCCTTGTCTCGGTTTAAAACCTTAGGAACCTTAAGCCTGACCTTAAGTTATTTTTCAGACCAACACAGGGAGGACTCACAACTTTCTGTAGGTGTTGGCATTTGTGGTGGAGCTTTAGCTGTCACATCACCTTTTAGTACAGAATTACATGAAGTGGATTTTGACATATATTTAGAGCACAACACAGATCTGTAAATGGGAACTTGGAGGGGGCGGTAACTTTTGTCTTTATTCTGGACCTGTGAACTCTTAGGAGTAGCTTTACCATTTTGTTTTTCTTGTTTTGAACAAGGGCAGGTTGGAACAAATGCTGAAGAACAAATTTGTAATGTGAGTATTTTAATTTCAAAATGAACTGGAGGAGGGAGGCCTTTTGGGAAAAGCATTCCTATTTTGTATATATATATATATATATATATATATATATTTTTTTTTCCCCCAACTCAATACTTCTGAATTAATATGATGTCACCTAAAGAGCATGAACTTAAATTTCCCTTGTTCTGTTCCCTAGCTGCCCTTTCACTCCTGCATGAGACTGACATCGAGTCTACTGTCCTTTCACTTTTGCTTACTTAGACAGGATCGTCTTTCTACCAAGGCATCCTCTTTCCAGCATGCACCTGATGAGTTGGTTTCGCTCTCCTCTGTTTCAGCTTTGGTGCTTGCTCTGTTTTCCCTCACATTTTCATACAATCATAAAATCATTTGAGTTGGAATGGACTTTTAAAGGCCATCCAACCCAACTCCCTTGCAATGAACAGGGGCATCTCCAGTTTGATCAAATGCTCAGAGCCCCATCCAGTCGGACCTCGAGTGTCTCCAGGGATAAGGAATCCAGCACCTCTCTGAATAACAGGTCCCTTTTTATAAAAATATTTTTTGACAGAAAAACAAATTGGGTTTTAAAATATTTCCAATTACTTGTGCAACTCATATTTTTTCAGTTTCTGAGTCCTAAAGAAATGAAAGATTTTTGTTTCTTTCCTTGCTGCCCAGAATATCTCCTCTCCTCTTCTCTTGCCGGTCTCTACAGATAGTGGTGCTCTCTCTTCATCCAACAGAATATTTCAGTTACTCAGCCCAGCACTGGTTTTCCTGTTAAGCAGCTCAGCTCCTTTTTGCATCAAGATCATGAAAGATGCTCCTTGTGCATCTTATTTGCACAGACACCACAGAGGGCTTCTGTGAAGTGAATCTTTCTCCCCATTTTGATCCTTCTCTCTTTGTACCTAACTTATATTTCCAGGAGGACAGAGTTACTCTCAGCTTCTCCCATGGAAAAAGAAATTGAGTCAGCCCATCTCTCCCTCCATTTCTGCCTCTCTTCCGTTACTGGCAGATCTGAGGCATTCTTAGCTTACACATCCCAGCAGTGTGGGTTAAACCTGTGCCTTACTTTGCCCAAACACATAGAGCAGTGCATTCCTGATGTATTTTCTCCAGAATCTTCCATGTGTCAGTGAATCCTTGTAACTGGATGTAAAGAGCTCATGTTCTTTACGTAATTTGGTTTATAATTGGGTTTGGATAACGATAAAGAGAGAGGAAATCATTGTGAGCAAGTTACCCTTTCTGCCTGCAGCATTTGCTTGGCATGTGGAAAATCTGTCAGCAAAACTATCTGCCATTGAGACTTGATTTCCAGTTACCAAACTTGCAGTATCTTTAACTGCCCCTTTTTTTCTGTTGGCATGATTCTGTTTATCAGTTCTGGTGAAAATTAGTGGGAATTCTGATTTCAGAACTGTCACAGGAGTAGAGAAACATTGCTGCAAATGAATATTGTGATATTTGCAAAATGAAATGAAAACACTGGAGGTGCAAGTCCTTTGCACACTGGGCTGTTATTCTTCCTTAATACTGGAACAGTGGAGCTGTGTTGGATCTATGCCAGTGAAGGCATTAAAAAAAATCCTCCAATTTGTATAAAGTTGGTTTTGTGCAAAACTCCCTTGTGACTGAAATGCAGTGTTGCAACCATGCAGAAGTGCTTCGAGAGCTCAGCATTTTCACTTTGCATGCAGCTGAAGCACAGGAAAACATAGGGTTCTTGCCATACCAAATGTAAGTTTTTGGTTTCTATTCCAAGCAGCATTACTGGGAAGTCTGACATCACACTACACGTTGGCATGGTCTTGGGGAAATGCTTCCTTAATTTTCCAGTGCAACACTTGGCCAGAACATTTAATTGTTATTCCTTTCACAGTTATCTCAAAGGCTTTTTTTTTTCTCTTGCAGAATTTCCTACAATGAAGCAGTGGAAATTTTGAAACAGGCTTCTCAAACTTTCACTTTTAAGCCAGAGGTAGGTAGTTGTCTGGGTGTTTGTCCCTATGTCTGTTGGTGCACACAGCCAGTCTGAGCACTTTAGGTCTCAGGGACCTTTCCCTCTTTATGCAAGCAGTGCTAAGTGTGTTCTAGTTTCATTAATGGTCATCTTAAGAAGCTTATTTCAATAGTCTTCAAATAAAGGAATTGTATTTAAGTAGCACCAAAACTTTTTTTCAGTACCAAAACTTTTACAAGGGTTGATAAGTCAAAACCACGTCAAAATACCATGCATCATACATGTAGGCAAAGGGAATCCCTTGTCTTTCCAAAGGCTAGTTGTCATCTGGGAAAGAGAATCATGTGATAGCCTTACAAACAGTGTTAGATTATGACTTTCTGCAAACTGTATTTTGCCCAATTTCAAACATACATGGCAGCGTTGAGAGCATTTGTGTTTGTGCTTATCTCCAGTGTAACAATTAGTCTTAACCTCACTCTGCTATTTTAAGGAAAATAATCCTCTGCCTGAAGACATCTTCATAGCTGGTTGGGTAGCTGTCTGGTCTCTGTGAGCAAGTGGGTGTCAAACCTTGAATCCTGTGTGTGAATATAGCTACAAATCGTGCTAGCAGTGCTGTTGCACAAATCATTACCGTTTTTTTCTGATGCAAAGGAGATTTATCAGCTGACTACATAAGAACAGAGATTTGGAAGGAACCACCTCAGTCAAATCTGTACTATCTAAATCTGAAACAGCAAACTCAGCATATTTTCAGATGAGGAGAGCCTGCAGAATGTATTTCCCTTCTTCTTTTCCATTCCCTCTGCATACTTTGCACATCCCGTGGTGGGCTGGAGATCTCTAGTCAAAAGCCACAGCATTTATAACATGGAAGAAAGCAGGAAAAGCAAAGGACATTGCAAATGTCCAAAGCTTCCAATAAAAAATTGTTTGATAGGATGCTGAGTTTTTTTTAAATGAGAATGCTGAAGTCAGTCTGGCTGAGTAAGCCAATTTTGGATAGGTTCCTATTTCCCTGAAGCTATGTGGTGAGAACTCCAAGTGGTTGGTTTGTTTGTTTTGGTTTTGTATTGTTTTCTGTTTTGATATCAGATATTTGGGCTTGATGCAAGGACGATCAGGCCCTGTTCCGTGGAAGTTAAGCCGTGTTATTTTCATTACTTTGCTCTGCCCTAAAACCTGTGGAACATTGTGTACTTAGCATATTTTCCCAGTAGGTTGTGTGAGCTCAGAAGTTAATGTTCATGTTTTTGTGTTAGTCAAAAATGTGCCACTCTATGCAGGGATTTTGCTTGGTGTCTTGCTTCAGGTGAGGTACACAAAAGCAAGATACTAGGTTGCTTTTGTTCTTGTTACAGTGGGGCTGTGACCTCCAAACAGAACATGAGAAGTACCTGGTGAAGCACTGTGGTGAGGTTCCTGTATTTGTTATTAACTACCCCTACGACCTCAAACCTTTCTACATGCGGGACAATGAAGATGGACCTCAACGTACAGTGAGTCCATGGGTCACACTTCCCCCTCCTTTTCATTGAGGTGTGTGTCTTAGCTTAAAAGTAAGTAGAACCATAGAATGTCCCGAATTGGAAGGGACCCATAAAGATCATCTTGTCCAACTCAAAGATGGCTTTCTGCTGGTCCTCCAGTCTTGAAGGCCAAGGTAAGACATGGCCATCATGTAGGTAATCCTGCCCAGTCTTCTTTCTGTTACAGAAGAAATCCCAGAGCAGGAGTAGCAGGAGGAAGATACAGGAGATAGGTAGCATGAAGTATTTGTTTAAAACCTTTAAGGCATATTTGCCATAGTTTTGTTTGTTTTTTTTTTTCCCCAAGTGTGTATCTGTACTACTAGTTAAGTGCCTAGAATTGTATGGGTTCAGGCAACCCATGATTCCCCAGTCATCCAAATCTACCATGTAATCCTCAAATAGCAGATGGACACTAGAAATAAACTTCTTCCACAAGTCTTTTGCTTTGAAAGTATGATTTTTCCAATTAAACCGAGACCAGTCTGAATCAGTGCTTCTACTAAAAAGTGTGACTTCTACTGCCATTTACTGCTCTTGCTTCACTTGCTTTAATTTCGGTATCTGACGAGCTGTGGAAAAGTAACCCTGCAGAACAAAACGGGGAAGAAAATCAACCCAAACCAATAGCACAGATGATAGCACTGTGTTCCTAATGCAACTTCAATACTGCCAGCTGCATTTCTGCTATAGACTGTGTGGCCTAACTTAAATTAGTTTTCTCCTTTTTAAGGTTGCAGCTGTTGATCTTCTAGTACCAGGAATAGGGGAGTTGTGTGGAGGCAGCTTGAGAGAGGAGCGACTTCCCTTCTTGGAATCACGCTTACAGAGGTACAGAAAACCTGCAGGTGCCAGGTGACCAGCCTGGCCACAAGTGTGTTCAGGCAGCCCTCGGTGCCTGCAAGGCAGGACTGGAAGGGCAACTGTTTGTCTGTTGTCTTTTGAGATACCTATTTATCTGAGTAAGCAATTGCTAACCAGTGGAGGAGGTCTTGTCCTTCTGCTGTAGGCATATGAAGTGCCACTCGACTTCAGCTCACTGCAGAAGAGGGGAGGGGAGCAGCCTTAGCTCTGTGGGGACTGTCTGAGACAGATTCTCATCAAGGCACTTCATCCTTGAGCCCTTCGTCACAACTTTTGTGTCTGAGAGTTGACTGTGAAGGTGAAAGTTGTGTAGCCAGAGCTTATGTACTTTTGTTACCATGTTGTGCAACGGAGGGACTGCAGGTGGGAAGATTTGCCTAGCTGTGGTACAGTTGACTTCAGTAACTGTATTTCATAGAATACTGTTCTTTGCTAAGAGTTTTGTGGAAAGCTTCATTGGAAAGAGCTGAGACTTGTACTGAAGTCATATGGCCTCGTTGGCAGTCTTTTTCCCTACTGCGTTGTTCTGACTTGTGAGGCTTAGGGTAATTTTAGGCTAAATTCAGTGTCAGAACATCAGAGCTGTTATTTCGTTAACAGCAATTGACTTTAGAGATGGGGTAAATCTCCATCTCTAGATGGGGACAATCTAGACAGTTACTCCCTGGACCCGGTCTGAATTTTCAAAATAACTTTTCGTAACTCATCTGAGTCCATTTGTACTATTTGTACACTTGTTACAAAGCAGTTTTGGAGGAGAATTAATCCCAGAGTAACATAATTTATACATCGGGAATGAATCCATCACTTGAATCAGCCAGTTGGTCACGGTGATGTATCTGATCAGTGGAGAAATGCAAAATCCATTTCAGCATAATGAAAAACAATAGGGCAATTAAAATCACTGCAAGATTGGTTCACAGTTTGTGGTGTAGGATGGTGTCACACCCTGCAAGGCCTCACTGTGCATGCTGTTACTCTCATTGTGAACTCTCCAGACAGAACCATGCTTCAGCTGAAGCAAAGTGCACTTGACATTTCTACCCATAGAATCCAGAGTCCACAGCCTTCCAGGTGTGGGACTGGAGGAGGGATCTTTGTAAAGGTCAAAGCCAGACTTTTTTTTGTGTGACAGGAAAGTCACAGGAAGTGTTTTGAGCTACAAATGATGTATCTTCAGTGACCTCAGACTATAGCTCTGCACTTAAGATGAACTGGAAAAATAACACCACGTGTTTCTCTGTTTTGAGTCCTCAGGATCTGATCTGCTGAACCAAAATATTTTGTTAATGCCTTTAAATTCTACTTCCTGCAGTCCCAGCACAAACAAGAGAGTGATAACTGGATTCTTGTCTCCTTATGCACGCTTCTTACAGTAAATCTAAAAGTTCTGGTCAAGGATTGCTGCAGTGTGCTGGAGATCAGAGGAATGGTCTCATTTTGCCTACAGAAATTTTTGTTTGTGTTGAGAGGAATGGGAAGAAAAAAATCAACTTTGTGCTGTTTCTGCTAGGGTTGGAAAAGGGTGGAGGATCTACTGGTGGCAATTAAGAAAAGATGTCTTCATTAAATTGCTTTACAGAAGCTACTTTTATTTAATAGTTGAGTATGTTATTAAATCCATGGCCATTTAATGGTTTTGTGAACTAAGAAAGGGGAGATTTCACGTATGGGGAGATTTTGCCTCATTCATAAATGAGATTGCTGCATGTTGTAAGTTTAATATTTGGGCCTACACTCTCCAAAATTTTGAAAGAGGGTTTTACTGATTTCCCTGAAGTGAAGCGTTTACACAAGTCTTGGTATGAAGCTGTGTGTTTCCAAAACTAACTTTGTATTTTGGGAAGCATGTTGGGAATCTGTTCGAGATTCTCTACCAAGTGCCAGAGCTGACAGCCATTGATCATGTCTTCCCTTTATTTCCTGCCTTTCCTTTTTCCACTCAGTTTAGTTGTTTTCCAGGCAAGTGCTGCATATGCAGCTCCATGTTCCCTTATTTATGAGGTTTTTTCTTCTTGTTCCACAGATTAGGACTCACAGATGCCTACCAATGGTAAGACTGTTTCTTATTTTGCAAGCTATATTTCTTCTGAGGTTCTTTAAACAACTGTTTCATTTTTTCATGCAGTTCTTGAGGGGGACGTTTCTTGGCCCAGCTGCATGGCCATCACTGCCAGTCTCAATGGAACAGCCAGTTCACTTCAACAAAGTTAATCTAATGCTGCTTACTTTATCTTCCCAATTTGTCTGTGGACAGCACAGGTCATTCCTTTCAGGATTGCATAAAGTGGATTAATTTACAACTCATCAGTGATACTAAGTCATCAAATTGTGTTCCAAATTGAATAGATTCTGGCCACCATCGCATGAGATAAACAGGTTGCAGAACCACAAGCAATTTGTGACCTTTAACAGCTCTGTGAATGACTCCCTTTGCAATTGACAGAGCAACTGGGTTGAAAAATCTTCCCTAACAAAGCTGTTGAAGCAATTAAAACTGTCCTGCTAAGGAGACAGAACAACCTTTGAATTAACGATTTAGCCCATTAAAATGACAAGATTTTAGTGCTCCTCTTGACAAGTGTTTCTTGGTATGTGCTTTGTCAAAGCTACTGAGAGGTTGGTAGTGTGGAGAATTTTAAATTTAGAAGAGTGTATTCAAATGCTCTTTAGTATTTGGATTGGCCATTAGGGAGACTGCCTTGAAGAATGTAGTACAGGATTCTTACACTCTCCCCTGAGTATGAACTCACTTTGAAACAGGCCAGTGCCTGGCAGTTCTTTATATCATCCATTTGCAAACAAGGTGAATGAAATGTTTTCCTTTATTATTTGCATTTATGGGTCAGAATGCACTGTATCACTTCATCTAACCCAAAGCAGAGGGTCAGAATTTCTTTCTGTGATTTCTCTGAGCCTGTAGCTTCTGTTTATAGGAAATATTTTTAGAAAGGCATACAGGTTAACTGTCTGTGTTCCCAGGTAAAGCTGCTGGTAGAAAGCTGTTAACATGCCCAGTGTATCTTATAGACCAAGCAGCCTGTGTAAGGGAGTAGCAGTCGAGTTGAACCTTTTTAGCCTACTCTGTTTCTTAGCTGTCCCTTTGAAGCTTATGTGGAATACTCAGAAGAATCCCAGGGCCCATTGTGGTACTTGTGATGGTTGTTTTTACTCCTAACTCTGACTAGCACCTGATATCCTAGATGAGCATAGTCAGCAACCCTTACACACATAGATAATTAAATATTGGGTCTTCTGGAGAGGAAAGCGTGACCAAGGCTGCTCAGGTGTATGGTTAGATGTTGAGATAAAGCCTTAGGAAGTCTGATGCTCAGTAGCAGGGAGCCTTTCAGCATTGCTAAAATAGCTCAGCCCTGCCTTATGCCCCCCATGAGAAACACTGCCCATCACCCATTTCCAGTTTCATGTCATATGTAGCTGTCCTGTAATCTCATTTGGGAGACTCTCTTCTCCCCTTTTTCCTCCATTCCACTGAAGTGATGCAGCTTCCCATAGGAGACTGAAACTGTTTTTGCCCCTTGCACAGTTTGATGTGCTGGGAAGCTGCAGGATTAGAATATCCCAGGTAACTTCTGGAATCCAGTCCAGATTCTGCCAGTGAAGAGGTAGTTATGTTGCCAGCATCCTTCTCAGAGGAGGTGGCAGGAGAGACTGAAATTAATCTCCTCCATTTTAATGAACGAATTTAGTCTCCAAAGCTGGCACACAAACTCTTTGGAGAACAGCTGAGTCATTTCTTTTGAAGTATATTTGCTAACTTTTGAATGGACAGCTATATGAGATGTCCCTTTGGAAATCCCTTAGATAATGCCCTATCTCCACTTCTGATTGTTTTCTTCTGTGTTTTGGGACACACTGTTTCTTCAGTAGCTTGAAGAGTTCCTTACTTGTGGAGGAGTCATGGATCAAAGAGGCAACCAACAATCTGTAGATAAAGGAATATGGCCAACCTCCTCTCAGTCTTCTTCAGTTCAATACAGCTTTCCTGTTGTGCAGGTTCCTTTCCATAAATAGTAAGAGGTGGGGAAGTACTTGGCTTGACTTTGGAGTAATTTTATCTTATTTTCACACTCCTTCCTTTGAACTGTAGACAGAGCTCAGTGCTGTAGATGCTGATTTTGGCTAGACTGAGAGACATCTATGAAATTGAGGTGGGAAGGTCAGGAGATCAGAGTTTACTCTGGGAAGTCACTTGCTGCCTTTGTGCCTCTTTCCTGCTGTTCTCTGCCAGTGTAGGCTGTTAGCTCCAGAGGGCAGACTGTGAATTCTGTGACCATGGGGTACTGAATATATTGTGTTATAAATGGACTGTAAATCCAGCTCATATCAGTGGTTTCCACTGAACACTCTGAATGCCTTCTTTTGTGGATTACCAAAACATTGTAGCCGAGCAGAATTTGCATGATACCAAAGATAGCATTTTACCCAGCATTAGAACCCAGAATCATGGAGTTGTTTGAGTTGGAAGGGACCTTTAAAGGTCATCTAGTCCAACTCCCTGCAGAGAACAGGGGACACCTACAGCTCAGTCATTTCCACAGAGCCTGTTACAGACTGATCTTGTGTGTCTCCAAGGATGGGGATTCACCACATCTCTGGACAAGCAGTTCCGGTGCCTCACTAGTGGTACTTGCATGTTTATTTCCTAAAACATTCAATAAAACTGATCCTTCATATGCTAACCCATTTCACTGCCAGTTTTTTGTTACCCATATTTTTTCCTTAGTATATTTCTTTTCTTCCAGTAAAATATTCAGCTCTGGGGATGACAGTGTCTTTGTTCTCCCAGCCTTACTTTTTTCTGACTGGCAGCAGAGGCTTCAGTATTACAAGATGGTTATATGACAGATCAAGATTATATTTGTTTTGAAAGGAGACTAAAAAGCATACGTTCTGTTTTACAAACGATGACTGAGAATGCACTGATCTTCACAGTGCCTTGCTGTGCATCACAGGATTTGGTGATGGTGACACAAGGATATAGGTTTTGAAAAGGATGAAAGGAAATGCTTTTCTAACTTGGCACGTAACAAGCTCATGGAATTCACTGCCAGGGGATGTTGTTGCAGCACATATTTTAGTAAGATTCAAATCTCAGAACTACCAGTCCTCCAAGTCCAGAACATGAACAATGAAGATAGCAGGGGTCATGGAAACTTACTTCCCCCATTGGAATAACGTTGCACATTCCCTCAGTTGCCAATGGAAGTCTCAGCCGTCCTCTGAAGCACAAGCTGCTGGGAGAAATAGCTAGACTAGTTTGAGAGTGTTTTCTGAGGTGAGAAACATACAATGTGTGGAGATTATTGAATGAAGGAAACCTCAGGAAACATTTTCCAGCTTAAAGGGATTTTTCTGTTAATCTGCAGGAAGTTATTTTTTCTTTCATCTGAGAAGAATGGAAAATTTCTCAATTCCTTCACTTTTTCTAAGTGCAGACATCAGGAAGGATTCACAGGCTTGATCCTCAGCACGTTTAATTCAATGGACTTTTTCTATTAACTTTAATGGGCTTTGTTTTGGTTCTTTTGCCAGAATGGCTTCTCAGAGTGCTCTGAGATCCATAGATGAAAGCCTTGGATAAGCAAGGGTAGAATTTATTATTATTGTCCATCTGGAAGGAGCAGAGTTATTTAATCTTTATGATGACTTTATAAACTGCATTGCCACCAAAGAGGAATGAAAGTGCTAGGCAGAGTCTGACTGACGTCACCTGCAATATCTGGGCTGTTATTTCAACTCCCAGTTGCTGCTAGAGTTGCCACCAGCTGGTTTGCCAATTCTTCTCAGAACTGCTGAGTCGGTGCAGGTTAACCTGCCACGGGCAGCACCCATATCACCCACATCCCTCAGATTTAAGAGGCCCTTTATATTTTACAAGTCACCACCCTCAGCATTAGATTTGCTCATCATCTTCTTCGCAAAGCTGCTAAGCAGGGTTTTCTGGAGGCAGTTCCCAGTATGTAAGTGGAAACTCAGTGCTAGGAAGAGGTAAGAAGTTCTGCTTTTGATTTTACTTGTTAGGCAGTGGAGTGGAGGAAGAAAATCTCTTGAGGAAAAACAAAAAAAAAAGAAGAAGAAAAAACCCCAAAACATTGTACTGCTTGTAATAAGTGGCTTCCCAAATTTCAACTCTTGTTAATGAACCACAAGAAAAAAAGTGGTATGGTACAAAAGGTATCCTGTCAAACTGTGTGAACAAGTGTATAGTTCAAGATGTGTGTTTATATGCATTGATATCTATATGCTTTCACATATATATTTCAGCATAATTTTGTATTTGTATCAAGGTTTAGTTGCTTTTTTTGTAAACTGGGCTGATGAAACACTCATACATGGGGATGAGAAGCATGTAGTGTATGTGCAGTCACACAGACCCTTTGTAGTGCATTCATACATCACAACTTTGTGGTCTCAGGAGGCTCAGAAGTGGCCCCATGAAAGAGCAGACCCACTGAGCTGATTTTCACTCCTGTTAAAACATAACTGTTGGTGACAGTTTATATCTGTAAACACAGTTCTTGCATATCGTGTCACATGAAATCAGGAGGGGAGAGGGGGAGCTGAGCCATCTGAATGTTGTTGACACCCACATAGTTGGAATAGCTGCTCCAAACTAGGCAGCTGGCTTTTCTGTACACAACAGGTACCATTCTCCAAACTGCGATGTCTTGTTGCAGATCTCATTTTTGGAGAAGAAATGTACAGGATTTTTTTGCTGACTTGCTGTGGGAATGAATAAATCAGTCTGTGAAAATGATTCGGGGGGGCTGGGAAGGGGGGAAAAGGTGACCAAAAAGCCATTATAATTACCCTAAGAGAAAAATAACACTCAGGAGGAATCTTCAGCAGACAAGAAGATGTATTTGAGCCAAGAAATTGACTTCTTAAGGAATTACTGGAAATGAAATGACTCGGCCTATTGAAAAGATGACTGGACAGAAGATGAAAATTTATTGTAGGGCAGATTTCAGCCTGGCAAGAGCTGAACAAACCCAAGCAGGGGACTCTACAGTGGGAATGTTTTGTGTTGCTGTAGGAACCTGGGCTTGTGCTTCTATTAGGGATATATTTAAAAACTTTGGTGCTCTCAGTGCATGTAGAGCTATTGATGTTAAAGTTGTACTTTGTACCCAAATGAGTTCTTGCTCCTAAACAAAGCAGGCTGTAGCATATAGGCAAGGCACAGCTCTGCTGGTTTACATTTGCACCTGGGGCTTCTTGCTAATACAGTTCTGCCTGTCAGGGAGCCCCACCGCTTCGTGCCCCTCTTCAATGCTGGCTGTGTTGGCAGGAATCCACCGTGGTTAGGGTCAAAGGGATGTAATTAAGATGGAAAGCGAAACGCCAGATAAAAAGCTCTAATTACATCAGCATAAATGTGCTGCAAATGTAACTGTCTGTTTAAATTACAGGTACCTAGACCTGCGAAAATTTGGCTCTGTTCCTCATGGAGGCTTCGGGATGGGGTTTGAACGCTACCTGCAGTACATCCTGGGTGTTGACAATATCAAAGATGTTATTCCTTTCCCCAGGTTTCCTCACTCCTGTCTGCTGTAGCTCAGCAGTGTGAAAACAGCCCGTGTGAGCACGTGTATATAATATTGGCGTATGACTGAGTGCATAGTAGAGGAAAATTGAGAGAAACGTTGTATTGGGGAAGCTCTCAGTAAATTGGATACTGCCTTATTGAAAATAATATATGTTCTTGTGAGATAATAGAAGCATGCTTGCAGTTAATGTGATAGCAGTTCACATCTTTGGTGCATTTTGGGAGCATTAATAAATCCCACTTAACCAAAGAGTTAAGATTCCCATGAGCACAAACGATGGGAGTCCCGAATAAGTATTGCTCAGAGGTAGTGGGGGTTTGATGTGAAATATTCATAAGGAGGTGTGACCTGAAATGGACTGAGAGCCAGGTCTGTTGTGAGGCTTTAGTAGGCTTTAATTAAATGCCTGCGCAGTGCTTTGAAGGTTGAGGATTGTAAAATTGCAGAGTATTGTCCCTGCTGTGATGTACTTGCTCTTACGAAATGACAACTGTCTAAAGCATGGTTCTCCCCACCCTGAGTTAAAAGCAAATATTGTTTACGTTGGAAAAATCGGCCAAACCTAGCAAGGAGAAATGTCACCCTGGAACTGCTGGAGTGAATTAGGTGAACAATGTTTGATTTTGTGAATCATCAATAAAGATGTACACTGGGTTGTTTTGTAACTCTTCATGCTTCCTTATATTGTTATAAAACCGTGGCATTCGGCATCACAGCGTTTCCTCCGGTCTCCAGTAGATGTTTCTTTCTGCATATACACAAATTATTTACATAGCTTCTGCAGGAGATACCTGTTCTGTGTGCTCAAACAACCACATTTTCATAGCAGAAACGTTCAGTCACATCCCTGTCTCTGAAGGCAACGTGCAGTTTTCTGGTGTTCGTCCTTGTTGCTTTGCTTTTTTTTTTTTGGTGTTAAATATAAATATGTGATGTGTTCATCTGGCCCAAACAGTTTTGTGTGTATTTTGAAACAACCACCATCCACTGCCAGCCATTGCATGCGTATTAAGTAATTGCTTATCTCTGTAGGATCTGAACTCCATGCAGTCTTTAATGGGTTTGTGCTCTCAGCCTCCCTGCCAGGTAAAGAAATATTCATTTCTGTTTTGAAAACAGGATTAAGGGCAGATCAAGTGACTTGCCCAAGGCAATTGGAAACCAGTGGTTTATTTGGGACTTGGACTGAGGGTTTCCAGCATCCCTTTTCCCTTCTGAATTATCACAATCCAGCAAATTGTCATTTGCATAGTGCTTACTACTCTGTAGTCCAAGATGTCTGCAGTAAAAACAATTTATATAAAGAGAAAAAGCAAGGTAACAGCCTTATTGCTAATGAACCCCATGTAAACTGGCACACTGAACGTGAAGTGGCTGCAGAACAGCCCCAAAGACTTTTCCTCCAAGCAAATGAAAGAGATTTAAAGATAGTAATCAAATAGCATTGCGCTGGTAACGTTGCAGGCACATTTTCTCCGCAGTAGGGCTCTGTAATGCTGCACCTGCAGTATCTAAAAATACATGTTTATGTTATGTGGCACCTGCCACGTTTTGGTTTGGTTCATGGCTGAGACTCTTCCTTATCACAATCATACACCACAAGGTCATTGCTTTGGGGTGCTTGGTGCATGCGCTGGGACATCTCCTGCATATCAAGATTGTTGTCATATTTCTTTTTGGTTAGGCAGGCGTTAGCTGTGCACTTGCTGGTTTGTATCTCCTGGTGCTGCCTCAGTTCACAGAATCATCATAGAATCCTTAGGGGTGTTAATTGTGATTCCATGAGTGGGTTCCAGCACCTGCCTTCCCTTTGAAACCACCACTTCCTACATAGGGCACCCAAATATCTTCATGCATTCGAACTATCTCCTCCTTTAATGAGTTATCTTAAATGCCATCGCTGGAACACTCGCAGCAGAAAGATACAGAAAGAGTGCATGTGCCAATAGCCCCATCCAATACAATGTTCCTAAATAACATGCAGTCAGCAAGTGTGCCCATTGAGATCTCTAGTCCTTGAGTCTGTCACAGTCGCCATAAACGAGTGTTTGAACCAGAAGCTCACATGCTGACAGCAAAACCATCTCCTGTCCACTCAGCATTTGTCCCCGCAGCAGCTGCAGGGTGGCAGTGTTGATTTTGGCATCAGCAGGCTGTTGTCAGCAGGAGGTGGGTGATCAGGCAGCGAAATGCCAGATCTGATGGGCAGGGTGGGGCTAATGAGCAACAGGTGAAAAACAAGGTGTAGAAAAGAAGACAATGGAAGGTGCCAGTAAGTCAGAAGGTGATGTGGGACGATGCACAAGTCAGGGCAGGGATGGAAGGAGTGTTTTAAATAGGCTTGTGGAGTGGTTATCGAGGCCTTATATGAGCTGACAGCTTGTGAGAACTGAAGACTGATGTGATCCACCCTTCGTTCTTTGTCTTGAAAGAGGTTGTTGCAGGACAGATCAAGGTTGAACCTTTCATTCTGTTGATAGGTAAGCATGTGAAGTGATGTCAGGGGGGTTTGTTTTTGTTGTTGTTGTTGTTGTCCTGGTTGTAGCCCTTGCAGAAAGGCAGAATTTGAAGAGAAGCATAGCAAGAGTGAAGTGTGGATGGTGATTCTTGTGATTGCAACTACGTGTCCAAGACGAGCAGCTTCCCTAGTTGTGTGCGTGTGCTTCTGTTTGATTCAAGGCTCTTGGTGAGTTGGCAGAGCTGACCTGGTGGGCATTGCCCTTGGATCAAAAAGCTCATTCCAGGTGCAGAACTCATTCCAGTTTAGCAGAATGGCAGGAGAGCAGGGTTGTCCCTACTAGAGCTGATTGGTCAGGCTCAAAAAGGGGGGAAAAAAGGGTTGTGCAGGCTTGGAAGCAGCCTGCAACGTGCACCATTTTGCCTAGAGGGTAGACAGAGAAGGTAGAGACTAAGACCTGTGTGCAATGATACCTTTTAGGCTTAACACCCCAGTGGGTGTTCTTGCTTGTTTAATGGGTACCCAGCAAGGGTGGGAGCCACTCGTTCCCTCAAGTCTGGCATACTTCACCTCGAGTTACGGATAAATAGCATTGGCTGGTATTGCTAAGGAATGCAATGTGTGTTCTCTGGGATTTCCATGTGGAATGTCATGTATTTCCTTCGAGTCTTCTCTCCAGAATGAAAAGGAAGTTAATCGGGAGGATGGGGAGGTCGTTCCTCTTGGAGATGCAGGCAGGGAAACAGAGTTTTTTTAGATTTAAGCCATTTCCTTGCTTCATCTTTGCTTAGAATCTACAGTCTGGCAAGAGTTGAAGCCGGATAAAAACTTCTTTAAACAAAAAGCTGTTATTCTTTGCACACGGGAGCACAATAGCTCACATAGGGGTATTTTTAGTGCTGTAAGCAGTCCACTCTCAAGGCCAGGTAACCATCATGGTACTTTGGGTAAGTCTTTTTTTTGACATTTACCTTCCTTGGTGACCAGCACTGTCTCTTTTCAGCTTTGTCCTCACTTTGGATTTCAGAGGAAAGAATCGCTGTCATCAACGGCTGCATCTCTGGGTTTGTAACATTAGGACAGAACGATGGGAGGGCAGCAGCCCTGGGAATAAAACAGTGACCCTGTAAACTCAGAGGAACGTTTAAAGGATGGCTGTTCTCCCCCGTATGATTTATGTTGTGTTACTCAGGCAGTGTGGAATCTTGGACTGTTGTACCACCTTCCATACAGTCACAGAAATAAAAGTCCATTCCCTGGGCCAAATGTTCAGTCAGCAGACTGGCACAGGGTTTCTAGCTGGCTTACTTGCATTGAAGCCCTCAGACACAAGGGAGAAACATCAAGGTGCTCAGCTCAGCAGTCCTCTTTCCAGTTCATTCGGTAGTAGGTCTAAATTATAGAGCATCCCTTGAGGAAATGCCAGGGATTTGATGGGAAACGTAACGGACAGTTTTGTTTGCTGGACTAATATTGGCTGTTTTGGAAATAGCTTATAGTTGTGTTTTTCTTAAAGGGAAGAAGGGGACTAATTTGCCAAGAAACACTTTGGTCATTGTTCCGATTAAATGTGTGTATAGAGATAAATGAGACTTTGCTGCTGGATGCAGTGCCGCTCGTTAGTGCTGTTGTTTCAGCCTCTGTCTCACGCTTAGGGGGAGATGGGTCCAAAGGAGAAGTAACATGAAGATTGTCAAAGTCTCAGTTTCCTCAGATCTAAGCAAAGCTACGGAAGCCATAAAATGGTGGTCTCAGGGGTGAATTTATTGTTTTATCATATAGTTTGTTGCAGAGCCGTGACCTTCGGAAGGATCGTAAAGTTTTATTTTACGATCCTGCTGGTAAAGAGACGTATATAATTTACTGTATGAGATCTTACAGGCTTGGCTAACAAGAAGTTTGACCCAGAGTTCAAAGAAATTATGGCTCCCATTGTTTTATGGCTGCTGCAGAATGTGTGATTAGCTGTCCTACAGCTGTGTCTCAATGTCTGCTGCATGAGGTGTTGCACAAAGATGCTTTCACATAAAAGGCAGCACCAGGCGAAGCTGTGTGGCCATTTAAAAGACAAATAGCAGAAATTGTAGGCTCAGTTATGGGTGAAATGTGGGTGAAACGACTTCAGAATCCTCGTTGCTTTTAGTGCTGACGCTGTTTTACTGTGCAAGGTTGAGGCACGGAGCAATTAAGCAGCTTGCCCAAGGTTATGGAAGATATATGGCAGAACCATGGAACAGGCCAAAATCCCTACTTGTTGCTTCCCCGTGAGAATTCCCTCCACCTTTGGGTGCACCCACACCAGAATATTTGCAGCTGATCCAGTTTCAAATGCATTTTTGGCATTTCTAAGATCCCAGACAGCACTTCAGTGATTTTTATCTATCCCTATGTGTCCCGG